GTTTATAATTTAGCAATCAACTGAAACGAGGACATTCACCACCACTGTTTTAATAAAAATATTTTGCTGCAAGACAACATTAAGAACCATCTTCAAAGGAAAAGTAATGCTGGCAAGAAGTTTCTACATTATGAACTATGAAGTGAAGTAACTAGTTTGCTAAATAGATGCCTCTAGTACCTCATCTCACCTGATAAAGTTCTTAGTTTAAAATATACCTTAGGTAGGAATGATTTTTTTCATAAATATGTTGCTTGGAAGAGAAGAGAGTACAAGGTATTGCTGAGAACTGAAGTAGTTACTCAATGCAACTGTGAGCATCAGGAAACTCCCATTTCTGAAATGACTAGCTCTGCAGCATAGCCTAACCTTGAATAAATATGCTAGACTTCTAGAAGCTACTGGAAAGATCAGAAAATACCACCAGGATTCAAGCAAATCTAAACTGTACCACAGACACACAGTGAGGTCACAGGGATTCACTTGCACAGACCTGAAATTCCTCATCTGTAATGCAAAAAAGTTCACATACTGATCTTGTAACACTCTTAAGCCACATTAAGTAACACATCCAAAGAGTCCAAAACCCTACAACTACACGGAATGAGGGTGTAGAGAGGTGGGGGTCAGTCTATTCAACCAGGTACCAAGTGACAGGACAAAAGGAAATGGCCACAAGTTGCGCCAAGGGCAGTTGAGATTGGATGTGAGGAAGAATTTCTTTCCTGAAAGGGTTCTCAGGCATGGGAAGGGGTTGCCCAGGGCAGTGGTGGAGTCCCCATCCCTGGAGGGATTGAAGAGTCGTGTAGACATAGTGCTGAGGGACATGGGTTAGTCAGGGACTGGTCAGTGTCAGGTTAACGATTGGACTCGATGATCTCAAAGGACTTTTCCAATCCAGGCGATTCTGTGATTCTGTGAAAACTCTCAAAATAAAGGAGAAGTGAAAAGTATTACTAACACTTAGCAGTACATTCCAATATTAGAACTATTGCTGAGTTGTGCATTACTGCTGATGATGCCTGGACAGGATATCCAGCCAAACAGTAGCTCTCCGCGACTGCTTCACTTTGCCTCCTCAAGTTCATCAATAACAGCACAAATCTGTTTGTGATATCGCCATCCATTTCACAAAGATAAATGTCATGTCAACATATACAAGGCTGCCACCACTAAATCACTCAGGCAGTGAAAGCAGGCCAATTAGAGAAAGACGACTGTTTGTCCACGCCATCAATCCACCCAGTAATCTCCGAGCAACGAAGACAGTGCTAGAAATAGCTGGCTGCTTCGCACAGGATCTGCAGGGTGTTAGCAGTCCCATATGGAAGCATTAGACAGCGACTACCCGATGTGCAGCTGTCTCCAGCAAATATTGCTAAACTCTCATGGTTTTTGTTTGGGTTTTGTTTTTTTTTTTCCCCTAATGATCTTAGTGCAATATGAAGGGGAAGCAGCAACCCCAAAAGCTGACCAACATCAGTTTCTGTTGCTGGCAAACTCTATTTTAGAATTTCTACTCTGCTCTCAAAGGAAGTTAAGAGTACAAGCAAGTATCTTGGGGTATTGAAAGCTGAGCTAATATCCCTGCTTTTCATTAAGGTTGTCTGATACTTCCCATTAAAATATCTATTTCAACTGATATTGGTTTCAGACTATTTTCCTTGGAAAAACATTAAAATGAAGGTGGGTTTTGCCATTGCTGGGAATAGCTTAGGAAAAAAAAAATAATTGCTGTGCTTTTTTCATTGTATATTTGTTTGCTCATTAAACTGTTTTTATTTATTATTTATTGCTTTTTATTTATTATTTTAAAAATTATTCAGCTGGTGACCCATACTTAAAAACTGTATAAGTATATCTTGCTTTTAAGAAGGGCCTTTTAAATAGGTCAGGCAACAGAGCTGCACTAAACTGCATTTTGCACACACTTGGGAGAGATTTTCAGCTCAAATTTAACTTTGCAAAGAATCCACCTGCACTCAACAAACAGTAAGTTGTGAAAGGCAGCACAGGACTTCCACTGCACCTGCAGCTGTGGGGCAGGGCAAGCTCTGGGAGCCGGACTGAAAGGGGGTGGGGGGTATTTTGAACATATACACAAGGTTGCTCTCTCACTTTAAATGCACCAAGCAATCAGCCACGTCTAGCAGCGCTCCAAGCTCCCAGCTCTGAAGAGATGTAGCTACACTAGCAAGACATGGAGTCTCACGATTGCAGCAACTGATCGTAGACACAGCTAGCTGGATTTTATTCCCTGTCTTCCACGGAGTCCCATGCAATGTTGATAGCAAAGGAAACTTGATTTTTTCCCTTGGCAAGATCTCTGGTTTGTATTTTGCTTCCTGGGTGACCGTCTTGTGATTACAGAGCAACGAGCGCTTAGAGAACAAACAAATTCAACAGGAGTTTGACAAATGGATGACTTAACTTTCTTCCCTTTAGTACCCTTAATAAGCACACCACCACCAACTACTCATTCAAATACTGGGAGGAGACGAACAGAAATCAACAGCACAAGAAAGCCCACACAGAAGTAACCGATTTAGATGGCAGAAATAGTGCACAGCATAAAGGCACAGGGCCACACACTGAACAATAAAGAGCAAAACAAAATATTCAATAGCTACTCATTAAGCAAGTACCATCCACCCTGTGCAGTAAATGAGTCTGTGGAAAAACTAGGCTGTAATCATGAAATGAAAGGCTGTCTCATAATGCATGCACATCAGCAAATTAAGGCTGCCAGAGGAAGGCTGCTTGTGCATTCCCTAACTTTTGACTGTTTGACTTTGCAACTTTAATAATGTCCTCCTAACATCGTTTGGGGCATAAGATATTTAAATTTCATTTGTACACAAATTAGGTACAGCCCTCAAGATTGCTGGCGTGTTGCCAGCACAGCCCTTGCTGCCGTGCAAGCTGCTGGCTGCTGCTGTGCTCAGATACCAGTTTTGTGAAAATAAAGAGTAGAGAAGAGCGTGTGAGGAGGAGTCAACCGGCAGGCAGCGTTGGGCAGGGCAATGGTGCTCTCTGCCGGGTGAGCAGCAGCATGACAAGTGCTCTGGCATTAGAATCA